TATATTTTGAAGATGACATAAATAAAAAAAAAAATTTATTTGTGAGTAAAATAACATATTAGATTTGACCTTATCTGATAACACGAACAAATTCGTGTTAAACGTATCGGTTTGCACAAATTTTTTTAACACAAACAGGTTATTTTGTGGTCCCATCGTGTTCGTATTAACGAGGGAGTATTTTAGCTATAAATTACTGTCTAGTTATTAATTTTAATATTTATCATAAATTGTAAAATAATATGTATATATGTTCTAAAAGATTTATCCCGTATATTTAATAAAAAAAAAAATTAAATAAATTTTAAATTATAATTTGCTATTCATGTAAATAATTATTTATGTAGTTTATTATTCTTTATTTTTTATTATTATTTTCTCTACTGTTTTGATTGTTTTCTTTTATATTATAATATTTTTCTGCTATGATTATAAATTAATTTTAATCTAAAATGTGTTAACTATTGATACTATACTTGTTGCTTTTTTGGGCATAAGTAAATAAACTATAATACACTTATATACAATAACAGATATTTACATAGTATCTATACTATGTAAGCAAGTATATATTTAATGTATATATAAATATAAATATATCAATTATTTAATAATAATATATACATATATACGAGTATAGATATGTCCATAAGGATCGTCCATAACAATATACTTACATAGAATAATAAAAATACGCTTGTTGTAATATTTTTAACTGTAATTATAATTATCATTAATATGGTAAAAAAAACTTTTAAGTACAAAATAAATTATAGTTTGTAATAATTTGTTTTTACTAAAATAACAATATGTTCAACTTGTGCTAACGCACCATAAGCAAATACTAAAAAAATTAACAGATGAATAACAAGAGAATAATTGAAGAAGACCATCCAAAAACGTAATATTTTAATGATCACTTATTTGTATTCTTATTTTTAAAAAGCCAAGGCGTATAAGTACACCCTCCTCGTGGCGCACACGCATGTATGAATATTATGGTATTATTTATAATAAATCGAAATATCTATAGTAGGTACACTTATATTTAGTGCTAATGGACATTTTTTTTTTTTCTATAAAGTAAAGTATAATTTTATAAGTGACTGACTGATCAAGTTATATAATGTTAATAATTTATCGGTATAAAGTGATTTAAAAAAAATTGTAAATATACATTAATGGTAGATACCTATTATTTCTTAAATACTAATATTACGAAAAAGATAAATATTATAATCCTAAATTAGTATATTTTAATATATTTTTACGTAAGTTTTCACTCATTGTCACTTAAAATCCAATCATATCAATTCTTAAAGTATACGAGTACTGAATTTAAATTTCACATGTTATCTGTTCAAAATAATTTAAATTGCAAAATTAAGGTATTTAAACGGCGCTATGTATAGGCAATCTAAGGACAGGTATTTAAAAACATAATTTGTAGTTGTTACCGTTTGTAATAATGAGATAAGTTGTTAATTAATATAAAAATTAAATATCAACATTTTACTATCGGTTATTGATTTGAATTTTAAAATATCCCTTTTTGACAATTTTTGTGGAGTCCTTGTGCTGTAAAACATACAATCCAACAAATATTACACTATAAAAGTATTCAATATCCATTTATATTTCTCTGAATAATGTTTAATATATTTATTTATCTTTGTTTTGATAATTGGTACAACCAGAAAAAAACTTTAATTTACAATAGTCTTTTGCAGTTTTAGGTTCTTTAATTTTTCAATTAAAGATCAATCTTAAGAAACATTTAAATAAGTCAATAAGTATTAAAACAAATCATTAATTAATAAATTAAAAATTTTAAAGTTCTCATTTTAAATTAATATAATCCAAAATTAAAATGTATACTATTTTTAAGCTCATTATAGCCAATCATTGAAATATGGTTATATTTTACATTTTAACTTAAAATATTAATAACAAATATTTGTTAACAATGTAGATTTGAGAGGACAATAATAATTCAAAATAACAATTTTACTTTTGTTTTAGGGTAATACAGTAGAAAATCACTCCTGTCATAATTTTCAAGGAACAAAAATAGGAATTTTAATAATTATTTAAGGAACATCAATAATTAAGTTATACATATTGTTTCATTTATATAATAATCAAGGAAAATAGAATAACAACTAAATTAAATAAAATTTGAATTATTAGATCAATACAAATCAATAAAATAAAAATGTTTAAATATGATTTACAACCAAAAGAGCAATCAAAATCAAAGTAATTACATATATACCTTATTAATTTCTACAAAGAAAAATAATTATAGAACTTTTAAATATTACAATTGGTATATTTGAAAAAAATGAGAAATTATTTAAAAAGTAAAAACAATTATAATTTGTAAATAACAATATAACTATAGTTATATATAAGTTATTAAACTATTTTTAATTACATAAAATCTTAAAATAGTACAACTAATTGTAAGACATGACTCATAAAAAATTCAAAATGTATTTAAATTAGTGTGGTTTTCCTAATCATAATAATTAATCGAAAAAATAAAATTGTTATTTATAATATATTTGCATTTTCTTATTCTAACAAAATATATGGTGCAATTTATGGTGTCAATTTAAGCTTAAATGTGATATAAAAGTGAAGTTATAATTTTATATCATAAATTATCATTAAAGTGAAAATAAGCTGAAAAAGTAGATATTAGATATGTAATATATATATATTAAGTAGATAAAATTTTAAAATATATTTTTTAGAGAATTAAACAATAATTTATGCTTTAATTAAATCATATTAATAATTATTATAAGCTGAACTTCAATCATTAATAATCCCTGTATTCAACACACAAGTTTAACCCGTTCACTGCTGACCATAATTTGAGATATCAGTTACTACGCTGACGAAAATTGGGATGTTTTTTTTAATGACGCTACCCTACTTCAACTGGATAAACCAAGATCTAAAATTAGAATTATCAAGGTGCGACTAGCACAAAACCATTAAACGATACTTGAAGATAACGCTAATGAAAACTTATTTGTTTATCCGTAACGCTGATAAAATTATAAAGAAAAGAAAAATCATATATTGATGACGCCAATTGGCGTCATCGGCATACGGGAACAATGCTAAATGACGCCAATTAGGTCATCAGCAGTGAACGGGTTAATCATCAGATCCATTTTGGGTTTTTTCCAGATTTATTCTTATTTTAATTAAAATATTATCATTAATTTGACTAAAATTGTATTGTAACTAAGGTAACATATTATTCATAACACATGATAAATTATATACTAACAAAAACTCTCCAAAGTATCGAAAATAATTGTACAGGAAGTAATTATAAAATCACAGATCAAGAAATAATTCTAATATCACAAATTATACATAACTCATTTAAAACTAACTAAATTATCATTACTAAACAATTCATTTTGAGCTATAAATATATTTTTATAATAATTTATACTATTATATTATGAACAGATTAAAGGTACTATAATTTAATTATCTCAATAATAATGTCCCGTAATATACGTTAGAGTGTACTGTGTAAGTGTACTTCTTATAAATATAGATATAACAACATTACATAACATTGGAAATTCAGTGAACTAATTCAAGTATACATAAAAAAAAAACTTTAACCAAGAAATAGATATAGTAAAATTAAAATTAATTTAATACCAGTTCAATTTGCTGAAAATAAAAAATAAATATGATTTTTAAAATTATAGATGTGCAATGCATTTTAATAACTAAGGCATATTATTATAATATGATATAATTATTTATTTATTTAAAGTATATTTATAACTACAAGAATAATTAATTATTTTTTATTATTAAAGGTTCTGATAAGAAATTGATTTAAACTGTAGGCTATATAGTCTACTTCAATAATTAAAAATAAAAGTTTATAGTTATATCTTATAAAATTCAATATAAGATTATTATTATAAGCTATTTATTTACTCTATTCAAATACTGAAAAGTAACTATATGACTATGTAGGAACTATTAATGAAATGTGTACTTTTTTTTAAAAATAGTTATTGATGAATTGCAATTTACTTAATTAAGTAATTATGATAAGATACCAAGTTTTAATTAAAAATGTTTGGTAGTTATAAAGTGAAACACACAATAGTTACTTGTATGAAATATTTCTCATTTTGATATTAGTGTATAGTTACTTTCTTTATTTTTTTTAAATTGATATTAATGTTAAAATTAATAGTAGATAATCATACTTCTTTAATAAAAAAGCAACAAGTTAATTTAATAATTAGGTATCATTTTTCACAGTAGTTGAAAAATTTGCATTTAAAAGGTTTGCTTTTTTATTTTAATATCTAACTAAATAATAATTGTCTACAACTATTTCAGTAGATACCTACTATTATTTTTTTTTTAATTCAAGCATCTATTTTATTTGTTTAGTGACAATGTCTTATAATTTAATCTTTATTTACACGGCTACTTAAATATATATATATATATATATATATTTTATAATGTATGCCAATGTTATTCATATTTCAATACATTGATATTTATATATCTTATTTATTTTAATTGAAAACTGATAGGTTTAAAGTAATTAATAAAATGAAAATGTAATTTCCAATATAATTATTTATAACAAGTTCAGTGAATAGTTAAGATTGTTAAAAATGTTTTAATCTCATTTTCAAGAGAGAATATTTTTTTGACCAGTAAGATAAATATTATTGAGGTAATCTTAAATTATTTTTACTATCAAAATATGTATAATAAAATAATTGGTAATTTTTTCAACCCTTGTATTACAATAAATAAATCTATTACCTTAATAAACATGATTAAGTATCATCATCTCATAACTTTGATGAAACAATAGTAACTGTATCATAGTATTTTAATTATAATTAGTAATTGTTATTTATCTAACATTATAAATATTAATTGAAATACAAAATAATAATGGTTTATAGTTGTTTAATTGTGATTTTCATTATTCTTTTATCATAAACCAAAAATTACTAAGGTAATGAATAGAATAGAAATATACTATAATATTAGAATAAGTCTCAAAAATTGTACAACCTTTTAGTCAATCCATTTAATGTTATTAATTTCTACCTAAATAAATTATTTTTTCATAATATATATCTACATAATAGTATTAATAAATACTTATGTTTTAGACATATGTAGTAGCTGTTGAGTATACAGGACCTTCTTGGGAGCGATCTGTAATCTGAACCATTGTTACATTCGCTCCCTTTTTTTGCTAGGATGATTTTGGTGCAGGAGCTGCTTCTGGTGGATCTGAAGGGTGTGCTCTCATCCAGTTATATAAAGGTAATTCACAACAACAGAGCATTTTAATAAAACCAGGCACTTCAATATAAAGTGAAGGTGGGATAGGTATTAACGGTGAAGTAGAACGTTTATACAGCTGATAGTGAGCATTACTAAAAAGTATAAAACAATAAATTATTATAAATAAAAATAAAAAAATAAAACTATATACTTAAATATTTAATTTACATACTTCCTGAATCTATGATCTGAAACACGTTCTAAGTGAGGTATACCAGAAAGAAAAAGTATTATAAATGTTGTGAATATTGGCGATAGAACAACAATGTACTCAGGACCTTTAATTACATTCAACGAGACAATAAAAACACCCCACCAAAGTACTATTTCTCCAAAATAATTTGGATGTCTAGACATGCTCCATAAACCTGTAGAAAAATATAACTTTATAAATTAGTTTTATTTTTCATCTTAAAACAACATTAATGGATGAATATGTAAGTTTTGATTATTGCAATTAACACTGTTTCATTCTTATTTTTAAAACTACATAATAATAAGATTATAGAGAATAACTTAAATAATAATTAAGCCATTTATAATATATATTAGTTCAAATACATAAATTCAAAATTAGAAAATAAATGTGTATTCACCGTCATCACACCATTTCCCTTTATTTGTTTCTTCACTTCTAAATGCATATTTTTGTAAATCAGCAAAAGTTTCAATAATGAAACCAAAAATGAACACACAACAACCAATAGTATCTAAAGTTGTCATAGTTTTAGGTGCTCCAGCTTTGATGGAATTATGAGGTGCATTGATTACAATAATAGGCAAACTAACAATTAGTACCCATAATGCCTAAAATATATTAAAATAATAATATTAAATTTAGAAAAACTCAGTCAAAAATAAAATTGGATCTTACTTGGAATGTCCAAAATACAGCAAAGCGAATCATATTGCTACGCCGATCTGGAAATGTAGCATCTCTTCCAATTTTCATTATCCGATAAAACAAATAAGAACTTAATCGGGCACCCCAAATACATACAAATAATGTAACCATAAATTGTCGGTTATCATGAGTCTAAATAACAACAAATAGTAATTAATATAACCACAAATATACAATAAATCTTTTTAAACATTTTGCACAATAAAAACAATAAATTAAAATTTTAAATAATTTAATTATTTTATTTATCTTTAATAGTTAATGAAATATAGTATAAAATCTACTTTAAAATATTATTTATCATACTTAATACTTAATTATTTAGTATGAAAAATTAATATTTGCTTAAATGTAGATTTTAGATATGCAATACTTTAAATTAAGTTTAGTTGCCTACACAATTAGCCTGATATAGTTTTTATTTTGTTGGACAGAAGTAAAAATATAACAAAATTCCTCAAATCATGTTAAGAAGTCAATGATAATATATTTAAAAAAAAAGTATAAGAAATATAAAGGTTAATATTTACCAACTTAATATAATTCTTACTTGATTTCATAATTTTATGTATTTAGAAATTTACTCAAATACAAGTTAAAATATAAATAGAAGCTTTAAAAATAATAATATTTAAAGCAATACAATATAATATTACAATAGAATAAATGTAAGAAACTATAAAATTAAAAAAATACTAGTAGAATATTTATCTCAATTCTTAAGTGTATGGAATGATAAAATGGTCATTAGATATACTAATGAATTATGTAAAAACAAATTATACAATTAAATACTTAAATATTATATTACTTTAGTAAATTTTACCTGAGCTAATCCATATGTTAGCACAGCCACTAAAATGAAACTTATACCACCAGCAAAATCAGCAACTTTATCATACTGCAATGTAACAGCAATGGTGAAAAATAAAAGTTGCATAGCCACAACAATAATGGCACTAATGCCTAAATGATATTTATCCAATACCACGACTGCCATTCTGATGGCGCATTTACAATTGTATAATGCTACATGTTTTTATATATCTGTAAAATTTTATGAAAAAGTATCCTAAATTAACAATGGCAAATATAAATATAATTTCAACTAATTGATTAAAATGACTATAAATTCTAAATGATACAAAAAAATGTATTACATGTATATACAAACAATTGTAAGTTTAAAATACATCAAATAATTAAAATATTTTATTTAAAGTATCTCACTTAAATAAAATTTAATTAATTAGTTTCTACATAAAAAAAAATAATAAATAAAAAGATAAGTTATAGGTAAATAAATAATATTGTATTATAAGCAGATACGGTTCAAAGGGTAGGCGACATAGGATCATTCCTAGGGCAGCGGCATTAATCATTTTTAAACTATAGATAATTTTTAAAAAAAATATTACAATTCCTAGTAGCTACTCATATCAAATGATGTGTAGTAAAAAATATGACTATAAATTGTTTTGTCTTATTAGTAGTGGTTTACTTGTCATTACAAATGTATTGATCTAATCAATTATTTATATAAATAAACAAAAATAATTCAGAATAAAATCTATTTTAGTGTTGCTAATACGAAACAAATATCTGATGTAGTATTTACATGTAAGGGGGGCGGCGGCAAAACATTAGTTTGCCTAGGTGTGAGTAAACGTTTGAGCAGGGCCTAATTACGAGGTAGTAAGCAGAGTACCTATTATTAAAATAATATTTTCTACGTGGTGAAATAAAAGGTATGCAAAATAAATGGCAAACTAGTGAAACTACTTTGAACAGCAACTAATCAATGTTAAATGATTTCCAAATGAACGTAGTATGCAGAACGCAATAGAAATAAAAAGTAAAGTTTTGGAAGTTCGTCCAATCGTTACCATTCCTATGTGGTGCTCTACGATGTTTGAAGTATGACGATTTGTACTCAAGCTTAGCATTCCCATGATACAGTGTATTTGGGTCGACCGCATTGAATACTTACGAGTTGAGGGCAACCGACTAGCAATCGCCAACCTATTCTGTCGTGTTTCAACGACGACGTTATGGGTTTGTTAAAAATAATATTGTTACAACGGAACGCATTATAAAGACGCAAACACCACAGCGTTGACCGCGCGGCGCCTAGACAATCGAAACGTAAACGATTGAATGTTTTTCTCTCGTATTTTGAACGGCAGAACACTATCCCACTTATGCGCCGGAGCACAAAGCATGCGCACTGCAACGGAAACGCGATGATCGGGAAACGCACCGAGAGCGCAGCGATGAGCCCCGCGTTAACAGTGCGACTGCGCCGTTCGCGGTCTCGGTACCCGATCGTGTCTGGACCGCGTAATTGTTCGCTCCCGTTCACCAAGTCGCGACTGAAGAATCCAAGTCTAGATGTACGACGCATGACGCATGACACATGATCATTATTCTTGACGAATGTCACCATGGTACAGGCGAAATTAGACACGGTTCTATTATTGATTAAACACATTTGTATAAACATACAAATATGTTTAATCAATGGTAGTGTGATGTCACATGGCAGTGGCGTACACAGAAAATATTTTCGGGAGGGGCTACTATGGACAGAGTTTTTTAAATTACCATTGCTATCTAAGACTTACTAACAAGACACAGTAGGTAAGGACGTGGTATCAATTGAAAAGTATCGATGCTTTTACTTGGTATCGAATCGAATGAAAATACCGATATGAGTAAAATCGAAAGAAAAGTAATGATCCTTTTACTTCGTCGTATCGAATCGAATTAAAATAATGATAAGATTAAAAATATAAAAACCACCGATATCAATAATCGTTCTGATTAAGAGGACCTATTGACGCTATTCTATTATGGACCGTGGTTTCTGGTCCGTGTAAATAACAATATAATCGTATTGAGTACAGACTATAGTGTGATGACTGAACTATGTAAACAAATCCACTACAACGCGCGCAAACCATTTTACTAGAAAATAATTATTGTACGATACCATTCGAGTATTTTGATTTTTGAACAAAAATGGCGGTTAGTAATTGATCAATACTGATCATTCGATACCAGTATTTTCTTATAGATAAAAGTATCGAAACCATGCTATCGAATGCAAAAATACTTGTATCGAAAGAAAAGGATCGATACTTTTTTGGTATGGGTAGTATTGCAACATTCATAATCACGTGGTCTCTTTCGTAAATTGTCTTTTCGTGGACACCGATAGTATGATTATGTTGCTGTGATGTTTCAAACATCATGGTTCCTCGTCAACCAATCTTGTTGTCCAACATTGTTTCATAGCGGCCCATCTATAGGTCACTGACTAAGTATACCTTTTGGACAGCAGAAGAGGAACAAGGCCAAAACATCACACATGATATACCAGAACTTGCGTTCTATTCCCTCTACACCTGATTTTACAATTATTTTTACTTCTTCAACGACTAAAATGTCAACTCTTCAGTATAATGACAACTTGAGATAATTTATGTAAATATTAAACTTTATCTTCCATTAAAAATAAGAAAGTAAATATATATATTTGTTATACCATACAAGGTAAAAAATACCATTAAATAATTTTATATCCTCCTTGAACCATGTACAGCAATAATTGATCAATAATAATCTTTTTCAGAAATGCTCCTGTGCAAAGTGTCTTCGATGCAGTGATATATCATTTGGCAAGTAGTGGTATATTAAGTAACCAAAGTGATCCAGAAGTAGCTATTATATTGAATTAAAATTTTATTGTTTGATTATTAAATAAGAGTAATAATACAAAGATTATAAATTTATTTAGAATTTTTAAACTTGATTTATAAATAGTTAGATATAAAGCATTAATTTAAATATTTTATTAGATTTCTATAATATTTTAAGTATATTACAAAACTATCATATTTATACCATTTAAAATGAAAAGGTAAAAATAAAAGGGGGATCCCCAGCTCCTGGAACATTTTGATTTAGGTAGATGAAAAAAAAAAAATAAATAAATTGAAATTTAAAACAAAATTAGATTGATTAATTTGAATTGAATTATATTTTATAATGATGAACTCTATTAATAATATATAATATTATAATATTATATATATTATACAGAGAGTGACTATAGTGATTACTACTTTTAAATTATGTTCCAGTCTTATCCAATGACAAAATTTGGTCAACAAAACCTTAGTTTTAATGCTTCATATCACTAAGAATCCCAAAGAACCAAATGATCTTAAAAATTGTATTATCACTACTAGGTTAGCACTAGAGAATAGTATACAGAACCTACACAAAGTACATACAGACAACTGAAGATTTCTACAGAATAAATGCATACATTGTGATTATTGACACACTAGTTACAAAGTTAAATGAAAGATTTTTGAATGATAGTTTACAAATGGATATATCTGTTGATAATTTTTTTCAACTAAAATTTGAAGAGTCAATGTTTTATTGATCATTATCAATTAAATCTTCAGTTTTTAGTTTTATGATAAAAGTCATTAGTACATTTTAACTGTTTTCAGGGATTATTGGATTTATCGAATGTCAATATTCAGTCAAAGATGACCGTAGCAAAAAACAGCATCTTGCAATCAAAAAATGAAATTAATTATGAAACAATTAAACAAAATATTTCTAAAAATGTGTTTCCCAACTTATACAAACTACTACAGGTAGCCATTATATAGCACATCAATCAGCTCGGCTACATGTGAACAAAGTTTTTCTGCAATGCGCAAAGACATGGTTACGTACGAGTATGCTGCAAGAAAAATTTAATAACTCTTCAATATTATACATTGAAAAAGATATCAATATCAGTATTGAGAACGTTATTGATATATTTGCTAATAAAAATAGGTTTATTGTACTAAAATAATAAAATATTTATTGTATAATAAATTAATGATTTTTAAAGTGCATTATATATAGTTAGTAATGCGTGTTTAGGAATTTTGTAATTTAGTAATTTAATGCATACTGAAGAGTGAAGGTTATATTGATATTAGAGTGGGGGCGTGGGAGCTAAGTCCCCATGGTTTATTTTGCAAAGAAACATTTAAGCCCTCCCTAAAATTCAATCAAATATCCGCTTATGTTGAAGGTACAATTCAAATGTAAGAGATATTCTCAGAGGTACATTAACATCATTACAAAGATTATGGTTGTATTAAATTGAGTTTTGTATAGCAGTCAATGGGGAGCATTTTGAACATTTATAAAAATAAAAAAAAATATTACGAAAAATATTAATGAGTTGTGTATACTTCATTACCTAATATCATATTAGTTATCTATTTAAAAGTTTAAAAACCATAAAATTTTACAATTTGCTGTGTTTTTGAAAAATATAAAATGTTCTCATACATTCAAAATTCAATCAATTTCAAATTTTTTTTCTTTTGGTATCTTAAAGTAATTTTACAAAGTGGCTGTTTTTGAAAAATCAAAAAAAAAATGTAGGCGGTTTTGAATTAAAAATGCGCTATAAGTCACAAATTATGTTAAAAAAAATGAAACTTAAATATCTGCATTATATTAGGAGTAAAAATTACTGACTTTCCAATTAATTTACATATTGTATATTATTTTTAAAAGAAAATGTTACTATTTCATTCCAAATATAATATCTATAGTTGAGACAGCGATAGCAGCGCTATCTGAAGTAGTTAACAGTATTTAAGTTCGGTGCCGGAACACGATAAGTACTAATAATAAAAAGTATAGAAAGGAACGATGGAACGAGTTACTAGGAATCGTTCCTTTTGTAGACCTGGAACGAAAGGAATTATTCACTAATAAGAACGAAATATTCCATCACTAGCCATCAGAATGAAGGTTAAAGATCGTACTTAAATGAAATAATGCCCAATGAGTAAAACACGCAATTTTTAATTAAAAATAATTAATTTTTAATAATTTAATTTGCTTTTGATAAATATGTCTGGTATCATTATTTGGATTGTTAAAATCATTCGATTTTTCCCATCACTATTCAGAATGCAGGCTTATCCTAACCAGTAAGCGATCCGGCGAATAATGTTTGCTGGCAGCACTGTCTACTAGTCAGTTGGACCATCTGTTATTATCGTAATCGTTGTTTTCAAATCTTAAACATAACGTATATTATTATAACAGTATAGTGGTTCATCCCGCGCATCGTTAGAGCTTATTAATATTACTGTGAATTATTATTTTTAATAAATTTGTAGTACGATTATAGAAAATTTTTAACTTATTGCTCCTTGACGGAAATCAACCGTATGTTGAATACTATCTAAGTTTGACGTGTCAATCTTGTTCGCTTACAGTGAATTGTTCAAATTTTATTAGTAATCTATTTTAACTGATGTTTGGAAATGAACAGGATATAAACTGTTAAAACTTTTAGAACTTTCTGCAATATAAAAAAAAAACAAAGCACTGTATTAATCGTAAGTTACTTTTTTACATTATTCATATGATTGCGACTGGTTTAATTTGAGACTGATTGAACATCTATATTCATTTTTTTTTGCTATTTTCGAGTTTATAGTTGGTAATTCCCGTCAGTAACACATACGTATTTGATGTTCCAATTTGTAAATTATATTCTAAACGTATTGCTTAATTCAAATACATTTTAAACAAAAACGAATTTGAAAAAATTGGAATCCCTGTTTTCTTATATTGGATATTTAATACAAATGAAAGATATTTTACTTACCTTAAAATGTTTTTATTTTATTCTAGCTCAGATTTACAATGGTTCTTAACAGAAGAAGTTTGGAAAATTTAAAAAGAATAGCTCCTCCTGGCCGAGGACGAGTAGTAACTCAGGAAGAAAAAATGCGGGTGTTTGTACGAATTAAACCTTTGTCTGATGAAGATGATGTACCTAAACCGTAAGATTATTATTACCATTTAACAAATTGAATTAATAATTATTGTCCAAACTTGTGTATATTTAACACAATGTAAATAAGTAAATTTAAAAACATTGATATACATAAAATAGGCTACCTAATCATAGTGCAACAAAATTAATTTTTATTGATCTAAAAATAACCATAATTTTAAAATGCTTACATTTCCTATTTATTCAATATACCTATATTACATACCTACCTACCTATATTAAAATAACATATTATACTTATAAATTATTTCAAATTATAATTTAACAGTATTTATATAATATATTTATTTATAACCTTATAAATTATTGAATTTGTTAATATGGACATTGATTATATAATATAGGAACTCAATATAATTTAACAGTTTTAAAAAACATAATAGTTTAGATTTCATTGTGATGATACAGAAGTTTTTGATGTGTACTTAATAAACTCTAGTAAATACAAAGCACTTTTTTTATATATTAAATTAATTCAAATAAATATTTTAAAATTTATTTTAAAGTTTTTGTAAATATATTTGGTTATTAACTAAATACTTAATATATTTATCTACCACCTAAATATGCAAAAGAGTTAAATCTAAGAAATCAGTTATTAATTAATCCCTGATATGTCATATACTATTTTCATTTTTATGCATATAATTCCAATGTTAGCTAAACGCCAGGTTTTAATGTATCTAAAATACCTCAAACAATAATTATTTTAATATTAAATACATTATTACAGCGTTTCCCAAACTCATGTTGAGGCTGGCCCGGTAATTAATATTTTTCTTTTTCGTGACCCACCGAAATATTATACATTTATCATTGTATAAAAAAAGACAAAATAAAACACATTTGAATGTCTGCATTCCATTTTATAATAAAATTGAAGCATTCATTTGTTACTATTATACTGTATATATATATATATATATGGCGAATGCCATATTATAAGGATTTTCATGAAGTCTAGATGATAATCTAAATAATTATTATTTATGTTGTAAATAATAGTTATTCATATTAATGAATTTATTTTTACTAAAAAGTTCAAATTATCAAACGAAATGATAAATAACAAATTTCATATGAGAATTTTATTAAATTCTGCGACTCGGTAATATATTTTTGTAGTCTGGTAGTGGGTCACGACCCACTATTTGAGAAACGCTGCATTATTATGGAATTCAGAGTTTCATCAAATATTTATCATATTTAATTTAATTTTTATATTCTTGTTCAAATATTAAATTATTTTAGTTTATTTTTATGCAAAAATTATAACTAATTGTAAGTATCTTAATTAAAAATAAATTATGTACTGCAAAAATATATATTGTGTGTAATATATAAAAAAAAAAAATACTAACTACTAAGGTGCATATAAACTTGGTTAAAATAAAAAAAGTAAATAAGTAGATATTTAAATATTTATGGCCAGTTGGTATATTTAGAAAATTTTGATATTCTACAATGATTAAAGATTCTATTCTTAAATCTTCAACTGTAAAAAGTAAACAAATAAATAATTTTTATTCAACAATATGTATTATAATATATTTAAGGATCCTACGAGGAAAATATTTATAATAGTGATATTGAATACCTTTATTATGTACAAAATCATCTGTTTTAAGAACTATACATTGATTAGTAATTCATTATATATAAAAGCAGTAAGTGGTTAAATTCAATAAATGTTAACTACAATTTTTTAACTTTACAAATAATTTTCTTTATTTAAAACAAATATTAATTTAACTATAAATATGTATAAAAGTGATTTAGATTAGTTGTAATTTAAATAAATTGAAAACATAATCTTCAAGACTTACTATATTTAATATTCTATCTTTCCCATGTTTTTAACAATTTTATCAAGCTTTCCTATATCTTTAATTGATATTTGTCCTGAACCTCGAGGTAATGGTTTTGGCTGTGATGGATCTGGTTTCCATCCTATCATATATAAGATTTGAAATGTAGCTGGAATACCTTGAGTATTATTGTCTTTATCTTGATTACCATAAAGCTTATTGTATAAAGTAGCTGCAGAAAACATAGTATCCTTGTTAAGTCGCAACGGTCGTTTTAAAGCTGCATTATTTTCTCCCATGCCTTTTAAGTCCCACATTAGTTCAAACATAGATGGGTATCTTATTATCAGTTCATCTGTATCTAATGTTAGCATTGAAAATCCTGCACTTTGCATTAATGCTCCTACATCCCTGAGACGAACAAAAGGTGATATTCTTGGTGTTACACCTCCATCACGCTCAATACCCGCTAATTGTAATGATGATCTTAATTCATATAAAGTATCGCCTGCAAACATAGCTCCTAAAAAAACTCCATCATTTTTTAAACAATTTTTAATTTGGAGGAAAGTTGATGGTAAATTATTAACCCAGTGAAGATTTAAGCAACTAATTAATAAATCAATACTATCATTATCAAATGGTAATTTCTCTTCATCTACCACTATTTTACTAACCTTAACATCAGGTTCAGGATTTTGGGACTTATCCAGAATTTCTTGGCTTACATCGCACATTATTAACTCTTTTACATTGTCTATCGAAATGTGTTTGGATACATGACCATATCCACAACCTAAATCCACAACTAGATTAAATTGTCGTTTTATATCAAAAAGACGATCTGATAAACGATATCCAATTTCATCTTTGATGTAATCATAAACTGAACTATCTTCTGCTATTGCCGCTCGTTGTTTTTGAATGATCTTAGCTTTTCGGTCAAATACAGTCATTGAAGAAGGTTCATTAGCATTTTTTAATGAATTTAACTTTCTTATTGATAATTTTATATTTTTATTAATAGCTGATTTTTTTAGAATATTCATTTTATCTGGTATCAATAGATCATTAATATAGAAAGTTATTTATATTACATAATATTAAATTTTTAAGTATTTTGTAATAAAAATGTTAAATTTATTTCGTATAGTAACTGTTATTAGATTCCATATTCGATAAAAACTCGATTGATAATTTGCAGTGTGACCAAGTTCAATAATTTTAAAATATTTGCTTATGTATAACTTCTTTCTTCTGCTGGCATTTATTACTCTTGAAGAGTTTTTGCCATCATCATGATCTGCATCCATTTCTCCCTTTTATGAACTATTGTTCTCCACTCTTTTACTCCAATTTTCTCGAGGTCTTCTTCCAATTTATCCAACCATCTATTTCTAGTTCGTCCGCGCGGCCTCTTCCCTGTAGGTATATAGTTTATGTTTAAGTAATATACAAAATATATTTAAAAGAAAAGATTTCATAACGTTTTTACAATATGTATGGAAATTATATAGGGTTGCCAAACGTCTCGTATAATACGGGAACATCCTGTTTTTAAATTTAATATTCCGTCGTCCCAACAACTCTTTGAGACACCAAAATGTCCCGTTTTTCATAAAATTACCCATAAATAAAATATAATATCATTTTATTGTTTTTAAACGACATATTTTATCATTTACCTGTCATTATTTTTTAATTTTTAATTTTTATAAACCGTGAATTATCGCAAAGCGTTATTTTCCATTCAAAACTATATTGTATTAACTTATGAGGTACGACGGCGTTGTAGCTGTCGTGGTGATGGTGACCAAAGGTGGAGGATAAAACTGTTGATTGTGGTCAGTGACGTATCCAGGATTTATTTAACGGGGATGTTTTAAAATTTAATAGACTTATAGTAAGTGGGGGTTCTGCCCCCCTACTCCTTACATTTATAAATACCATGTATTTATATAAATTATTATATTAATGAAAATGATTATGTTTACATATACCTACATTTAGTTAAATTATACTGTAATTAAGTTTGCAATTTGATGAAATACCATAAAATACGGTCGATGGGGGGGTGTTCCAACACCCATATCACCCCCCCTCCCTAAATACCCCCCTGATTGTGGTGCTATGCATTTAAATTTACTATTTTAGTATAAATTTAAAAGACGTTCAAACTAGGGTGAAAATACCACTGTCCGTTTAGTTGAATTTATTAGTTGTTATTGTTAGTTATTAGTAAGTTCGTTATTACTACTCATCCTTACAATTTCGTTTAAATTTAGATTAAGTTATCACAATATGCAATGGTAATCATTTTATCTATAACATTACGACCTACAAGCATCATGCTACAAGATCAGTTGTTTTTTTTTTCGGGACAGACATTATGCTTTTTTTGTCCTCTATTTTGAATTTTGAAGTCTTGCAACCCTAAAATTCTAAGGATCTTTGTATTCAATTTTTTATAATTTTCGCTGAACCAAAGTGTTTTTTAGACTATTTATGATGAAAAGCTATGAAAACATAAAAATGCCATCTTGCCAAATGAATCTAAAATGCTAATCTATCAATATTACAAACAAATTAAAAATATGAATGAGTGTACATTTCTAGTCTCGTTACATTGTTTAAGTTACGTCAGAAAAAAATCTGGTTTTGTTAATTATCCACTAAATTTTGTTATTTTATTATTATTTTTCGTCAGTTTTTCTCTGTTATTAATGAAATCAAAAAAAAAACAATTCATTAAATGGCCACCCAAGTGCATTATTTTCTAATAGACCTTTAATGAAGAAATAAACCAGATAGCTCTTTCTGGTTAAAATATTGTTGATAGACAAAAAAGAAAGATTAATTATATATAAATAAAAATTTGTTGAAATCACTCAACTTAGAAAATATAAATAGATTGATAATAAGAGTGTGTCATTAAATATTTAATACATTTATACATTTATTCTGTAATTTTTAGTAAGACCATACGAATAAGAAATGAAAATGCATTAATATTTGATCCAAGACAAGATGAAACACCTTTTTTTTTCCATGGTGTTAAGCAAAATCCTAGAGACATTACAAAAAGACAACATAAATCAATTAAATATGATTTTCATAGAGTTTTTGGACCACAGAGCACCAATGAAGATATATATAATGAAAGTACTAAAGATTTGCTTGACAAACTTTTAAGCGGTTATAACTGTTCTGGTATGTATAAAATAAGTACAGTGAAACTTATTAAAAAAAAAAAGTTATTAGAATTAAATTACTAATTAAATTGTAAATACTTTAAGTAATTAATGAATCTTAAATTTGTTTAAATGCAATTGATTCTCTGCTGAATTAAATAATGCAGATAAAGTAAAATAGACCGAAAATTAACACAAAATTGATGTTATTGTGTTTTTTTTAACATAACATCATTACATTGTTATTATTTTTATCATTTATTTTTTGAGTTGTCTGATACTGATGCTAAGTGTATACATTTTTAATTAATTAAAATAATTCAATGCCATGAAAGACTGAAAATAATTGAGAGTTTACTACCATATTGTTTTGGTCCTATGTCATTCTATTAGGTACTTACTTAAAGTTTTTATTAAACATTTTTTTTTTTTTTCATGTTAACAATATTATATTATATTTTTAAAGTTATTAATAATTAATTACTGTTTAAAAATCAAAAGGAGCCTTCTTTATATGTTACGAATCTATATTTTTGCATTTGTATTTAATTAAAATACTAAGGCATATATATATATATATATATATATATTATAGATACTAATAATAGTATTGAATGTATGATTTAAGCATAATCTGTAATAACTTTTACCTTAAAATAAATTATTTATTAGTGATTTTATTTATACTCAATTAATATTAACTTAAAATTAAAGTAGAACTTGAAATATAATTCTTGTATTATCAATAATTCACTATCTATATAAATATGTATACATTTATATAAAAATTATTATATCAATATTTTAATTTTTGTTGCATTAGTTTTCGTTTATGGAGCAACAGGAGCTGGAAAAACATTTACTATGTTGGGTAATGAAAATAACTATGGTATTACCTATTTAACTATGAAAGATTTGTATACAAAAGTAAATGAACAAAAAGATTCAAAAAAATTTGAAATTTATGTCTCTTATCTTGAAGTAATTTATTCTATTTTTATTTAATAATTTATTTAAATAATATTATAATATTTTTATTTTAGGTATATAATGAAATGGTGTATGACTTATTGATAAGTGATAAAAAACCTTTATTTTTACGTGAATGTGGTAATACAACTTCTGTTGCTGGTATTACAATAAAAATGGTAAATAATGTTGATGAACTCATTGAAATGCTACGTAGAGGCAATGCTAATCGTACACAACATCCTACTGATGCAAATGCAGAATCATCTAGATCACATGCTTTGTTTCAAGTCTATATACAAATGACATATAAACATACAGACCAAGTAAAAATGGCTAAGCTCTCCATGGTTGACCTGGCTGGCTCTGAAAGGGCTTCATCTAATAAAGGAATGAGATTTAAAGAAGGATCAAATATTAACAAGTCTCTTCTTGCTCTTGGTATATTTTTAAGTACTAAATAATATTATGTATTCTGTATATATATGCACTAAAATTAATTCTAAAGATATAACATTTATGATAGCCTAATATAGCAATATATTTTTGTCAACGGTAAATAATTTTTTTGAACTTTTTTTGAAACAATATTAGATTATGATGTTAATATTAGTTTTATATTATCTGAATACTTTAAAATAAAGATTGGAATATCAAGTTGTTGAAATATTAACATTTTATTTATGATTTATGTATTTTATAATGATTAATTTTCACTTAATTTATTCTAATTTCTAAAATAATATTCAATCTATTTTTATTCACAAATCCATTCTTACTTAAATATTATTCTTTATTATGACACTTAATATAATAAAACAGTTAAATATTGTTGAAATAAGCATTTTAATTACAATTATCATGAATTTCATGTGTTAACTTTGACAGCTATAAAAAGTCCTAGTGAAACAAAAAAAAAAAAGTTTATTCTATTCATAATAAGAATTATTCTGTAGGATGATAATGTGAACCATAAGTTCCTCTAAACTTATGAAAAACAGTTCTCTTAGATCGCTAATTTTTGTAAAACAGTTGAATAATTTGTAGAAGCTATGCTGGGCTAAGTCTTTCTATAATGAAATTTCAAACAACATTAAACAAAATATTACAGCAGTTTGATGGTATTCATACTTTATCCATCATAAAATCACATTTAAAAATAATACTTCTAAATGAATCATTTGTTTTAATTTAAATAAAAACTAATATTAGCCAATAGCATAATTTTGATAGATCTATAATATTTTACATACATAGTCTTGTAGACATTGTATTTGTTTACAAATATATATTTAACAGTCTAAAAACATATTTAATATTTATATATTTTTTTAGGAAACTGTATCAATAACTTATCAGATGGTTTGAGACATATACCTTACAGAGACTCAAAGTTAACAAGATTATTAAAAGATTCTCTTGGTGGAAATTGTAAGACTCTGATGATATCATGTGTATCTCCTGCTTTATCATCCTATGAGGATACTCATAATACCTTAAAATATGCTTCTCGAGCTATGAAAATTAAATCTAATGTAAGTTATTCTATTTGCTTATTTAGTTTCTTGGTTTTACATTACATATTTTACTATTTAAGTTGAAGGAAAACGTTATGTCAGTCAATCATCCTCAATCGCATTATACAAAAATCATATCTGGTCTAGAAGAAGAAATTAAAAATCTTAAAATAAGATATGAAGAAACATTGCTGTCTAAAGCACCAGTACCTCCAAATAATATAGAAGATCTAAGATCAACATTAGAGTCTTTATTCACCAGAAAATTAAAAAAACATATTGAAATTCTTCATTTGGAATCTGCTCAGAAAAAAACTGAATTAAGAATATTTTTAAAAAGAAATTTACTTGAACGTGCTTCATTATTTAATGCACAACATTCTCATGAAGTGGTCTGTAATTATTATTACTTAATATTTTAATTTAATAATATTATTGAAAACTTATATATATTTTACAGATAAGTGAGTTGAATCGAATTAACATAGCTATTCAACAATTTGAAGGGCGTATGACTAGTTTAAATGCTCAATTGAATATTTTGTGGGACGAAGCAATCGCAGCTAACAATGAATTAAATTTATTTATAAAACAACTGGAAACAAATAATGTTAAACAATTTTTGGACATTGATATTGTTCGCTGTAGTTCTCAAGTATGTATTGAAAAATATTTGTTAAAATATAATATTAGTAATAAAATTATTTGAATAATTTTTCAGATAATCATAGAAGAAGAAGTAAATCTTAGTGATCATAGAAATGAAATTGGTATGATACTAGACAGTAATCTTAATATAAGTCAGGAACTAATCACCATGCTTGCTGAAAAAGCTACTCAGTATTATAATTTATTAGAAGCATCTAATAAAGTTTCGGAAGATATGAAAAAAGATTATATTGTAAGATATAATGCATTTTTATTTATTAGTTTATTTCAATTAGTAAATATCTAGTAACATAAAGTTTTGTATAAAATAAAATTTTTAATTTTTTATACAGAGTATAACAAAATCATTTTTGGGTGGTTTGAAAGCGGTTAGTTGGGATTTTTCACCTGCAAATCAATGTAAAATTAAAAGAGATGTCTTTTTAAACTTAAATCAGCTTAATATTGAAAATTTAAGAACCTGTGTTAAACCTGAATTTTCAAAACCATTAAATTTGGAAGAATGCATGGTAAGCATATATAATATTTATAAATTAATAAGAATATTTAATTAAAATATGTATTTTATAAATGTATTTTATTTCTTGTTTAGAGTCCATTACAGGTGGTTGAAGACAAATTACAGCAAATTACAATAAAACAAGAAATTAATAAAATGGATACATTACCAGAAATTAATAAAATTGATACATCACCAGAAATTAATATTATGGATAAATCACCAGAGTCTATATCTGATGAAACTGTAGTTATCTCGACACAAGCACAAAGTTTAAATAACACTTTTGTATTAAAACAAAATTTAGATAAAGTATCTGCTAACCGGTCAGCTACAACCACACCTCATCGGAATAAACCTCCTATTGATATGCGTTGTCTAACCAAATCTATTACCAAGCCTGCCATTCAAAGAAAAAAATTGATAATCAATAATAATAAAAATGGACTTGTTAATAGAAAAATAAACCAAGAAAATTTACCTCTTATTATGGCTGCAACTAAGACATTGGCTGATCCATCTCTTGCCAAAGCTGTAACTAAATCAAGAATTAATACCAATATATTAACTCCTAAATCTGGTAAGTTATACTAATTGTATTATACTTGAGTCTGTGTAAATATTGCAAATTAAATTTAATATTTTTGTTTTATGTCTGTTTTTTATTCAATTTAACTACTCTTTAGTATTATGCATCTTTTATTAGTTATTTTAACAAAAAAACAAAAAAAGCTTGAATAAAAATAAAAAAATAAATAATACTGTTTTGATTAACAATATATGTATTTTAAATTAACCTTATTTTTATTAATATATGTGTTTATTCATTAACTTTATTGGAACAGATATTTTGAATATAGAAATTTTGATTTTTGGCTTATAAAAATAATTTTTTCGCTATATTTATTAAATTGTGTGTTAACTATTATATAGTCATATCATCTATTTTCAATACACATTTTCATTATTTTATCCAATATTATATAATAAATAAAATGCGGACTTATTTCTATATTTTAGGGTCAGCATATATTGATTCTTCACTTATTTGTATTTCCAATATAGTATTTTGTGCAAACAAAAGCAGTAATAAGTTTGAAAATTTTATATATTTATTAATAAATTAGTTGAACTAAATTTCATTATAACATTTTTATTATACTATTTTAAAATTATAACTGATGAATTATGGAGAAAAAAATGTTTATATATGTATTAATCAAGAAAATGGTTGTTGGGACCATACCATTTTTTATAGGAATTATTCCAAAAAATAATGGTCATAAAAAAATTTTTTTTTGTTATGCATTACTTATTATAAGATTAAGCAATTGATTTATGTATTTTTCTAAGGCATTTACTCACCAATAACAATATCCGGGTCATATTTAAATAAATAGACAAATGTAGTTAAACCTTATTAATTTAATTAAATTAATCCTTAAGTTATAAAATTAAAATGATTCTAAGAATTTTCAATACAATTATGTCTTAGCAAATTGATTAAAAATAAATAAAATTTGGTTTTTATTAAATTTTAATCAAAATAGTACTATACTAAAGATATCAAATTAAAACACCTAAATTATAGTTGTAAGTAAATTATTAAGTAATACTTCACTCTAAATCATTTCTTATAGTTTATATTTTCCTCAGCAAAAAGCTAAAACTAACTGACAAGTAAATAAATGATATAATTTTTATTTTTATTCATAGAATATGTCAAAAAACTGAACAACTTATATTAATAAATACTACATTTTCTATGGTATTTATATGGAATATATTTTATCGTTTATAAATTATGTATAGTAAAATTTTATTCTATCAGAATTATTTAATCAATTATGTAAATTAATAAACCATGAGTTTTTTTATATTAATTTGTTTAAATTGAATATAAAATTTGTTGTAAATAAACTACACAAATATTAGACTATATTGTATATACTGTGACTTAAAAAATTATCATAATTGACTACTAAATAAAATTTAAAGTTATCACAGTTGATTACTAAATAAAATATGCTCTTTATTTTTATTGAACTTTACATCTTCCAATAATTTTTAAAACTGATAATTAATGTAAATTATTCAACAGTTGTTAATACTTATATACCCAAATAATATTATTAATTTCACCTTTATATCTATAATGTATATTTTTTGATTTTACAGTAAATACAAGGATAACTACACAAGACTCAAATAAGACATCTATTTTAAAAAATCAAAAACCTACATTGACCATGAGGTATCTAAATAAATTATAATATTCATTTTTTTTAGTGAGATTTTATAAATATATATTTCTTAGTTAAGGCTTTGCAAAAAAAAAAAAAATACTTAATTCTCTTTAATAAATTTTTAGTTAAAAAAAGAAAAATAAAACAAATTATTATAGATCATATAATGACTTAAATTTGTACATTATTTATACAGTTGTATTGCAATTTCTAAGTTTGTATTTTAAGTCTATTTTAATTCTCATTTATTTTCACTATATAATTGAGTTATGATTTGTTTAATTATAATTACATGCAATTCTCCAAAGAGAAAATCAAAAAAAGAATAAATACATTTATTAGTATAGATATTGTTCTAGATTAATTATTATTATACTTAAACACTCGGAAAAATGACCCTTTTAATTGCTACTGTAGTAAAATTAAAATAGTTTCTAAATCAATTATTACTTACAGTATTTTAGATCCATAAGGTTTTCATATTAAAATATAATTTTATTTATTTTCTATAATTTGCTAATACAATCTGTTATACTTATAAATAAGTATTCACTGTATTTTGTGAAAAAATTTTGAAAATATATTCTTATTTACTCTGTCTTTTATTAGTTATAACTTTTTAAATAAAAAAAAAAAATACTCATTTAAATTATAATTATTAGTTAACACTAATTTATACAATATACAATAATACAATTTTATTTAGTAGTTAATAGTGTTTTCTTATTTTTAAAATTCTTTATTTTTAAATAATTTGTATTGGTTTATTAACAGTTTACAGAAAAACCTGAAATAACTATTGGTGAATGTGCTCAGCTTTTATGATTAATTACTGTATTTTTAAAAATCTGATATGTGTATGTTTTTTTCTTTATGTTATATGTTTATTTTGTTAATTTTAAAACTGTCACTTGTTTCTTTTATCTATTCATAATTTGCTTATGATATTTAAACATATTTCATAAGCTTACAATTCATTTTAACTTAAACTTTTTTTTCAGGCAACGAAATTGGCTATAACAAGTTGAAGAAATATTAAATACTTAAAGACAGTCCTAATTTAATAGTTATAATCTGATGAAATGTGTTTAATTAACCTATAATTTTATATATATTTGTGTGGACTTTTGTCCTGTTTAGCATTATTAATGTCTTAATTTAATTTTTATTAATTGTAAAAAATTATGATTTTATGCATGATTTTCATTAAGTAATTACGATTAATTATTTTTCTTACATGAAATTAATATTTTTATACATTTAGCATACATAATTCTCCATGTATTATAAAACTAAAATATGTGTTACTAATTCTAAATGTAAAAGTTATTTTTTTATCTAAATACAATTTATATATTGTTTCATTTTACTCAAATATTTTTATCAAAAAAAAATTTACAAATAATTTTTATTTGATTATAATTATTTAAAGAAATAATTTTGTTGATTCAAATATGTTTCCATATTATAAATGACAAAATACGGTTCCCTTTTCGTTACTTTATTGTAATAAATATTATTAAAACTTGATATGTTTTTTACGTTCTATATACATTCAGTGATGTATTGCTAAAATAAATCGTGGGTATACGCTTTATTTCATGTAGTAACTATCATATGGTAGGAATCAAAAAAACTCACTCATGAACTACACATCCTTAATTATGACTGTACTTTTTATGATATTTTTATGTATAAATATATTTATGATAATATCATAATTTCAATAAAATAACATTTTTGGGAGCACTCAAAAGAGTGTAATGTGTAGGTATTGTACGAATTTAGTATTTACCTAATTCGACTTGTTATGCTAAATTCTTCAAAACCGTAGTAAATATGAGTAATCGTATATGTTGTGTTGTTAATTGTTCTAACACATACAAGAATATTTCTAATGTAAATTTTTTAGATTTCCTAATAGACCGTAAGAAAGAGAATTGAAAAATCAATGGATTCGAGCAATAAATCGTTTTGAGTAAGTTTAATGTCCATGTGCGCTAATTGTTTGATTAAAAATATTGAACATAATAGGTTTACTTATAAAAAATTTGGTGCTCGTCTAATATGCTACCTACCCATAAAATGGTATCTACCAAAACACTGTATGCGTGTAGTATGCTACCTACCATAGTTATTTTTATTTTATTTCATTTTATTACAGGAAAGTACATTTGAGTCATTAAGATAAATAACATATAGCAGTTGTACAAAACTATATCTTAATAGCCATTATGATATCTGATCCACCAAGACTCATGATAACTTACTGTTAGATATATTATTTTAGTCTATATTGTATCTGTGTTGTGTTCGTGTAAGTATCCTATTCGTTGCGAGTTTTACTTTTTATTATAAAATGAATAAATCAATGTGCTATTTGTACGGGCATATAATATGTAATGAGAAAACATGTGTTAAATATCTTCAAGAGAGAAACTTGCTCCCAGAACTTGGTAGTTGTTCCAAATTAAAAGTTGGTGTTATTTGTGGAGGTACGTTGAAAGAATATCAAAAAAATAATCGTAAAAGAAACTCAAATGGTGATTTATTAAAAACTATTTATTTACGATGTCAATAAAAAGGTTGTCAAACTTATCACTCTTTAAGAAAAAAAAATCCTTTTTTTACATATTACGATAAAAATGGTAAAAGTAATAGTGGTTTAGCGTTAAATGAAATTGTTGAATTAGTATGGTATTGGGTGTATCAAATACCAGTTTCAATGACCGAAAAATTTACAACAAAAACTCGTAATACAATTGTAGATTGGAATAATTTATATAGAAATGTAGCAGTTGCAATGTTTGATAAACGTAAGAAAATGGGTGGTCCAGGGAAAATTGTTCAAATTGACGAGTCACTATTTCAAGGCAAGCGTAAATATAATAGAGGACGATTGAGAAATGGAGATATAATTCCAAATGTAGATGACAATGTATCAAGTGATGCTGACGATATTGATGATGATCATTCGACTCAAAGAAATTATGGTACTCGCATTCAAAGTCCATGGATTTTTGGTATGTGTTGTAAAAATGTTGATAGGGTTATAGAACGAAGATTTTTTAAAGTGGAAAAAAGAGATAAGGCAACTTTATTACCAATAATACAAAATGAAATAGAACTAGGATCAATTATTTATTCAGATCAATGGCGAGCATATAGTACCTTAAAAGATATAGGTTATCATCACGAAACCGTCAATCATTCCGAGTTTTTTGTTGATCCTACAACGGGCGCCCAAACACAAACAATCGAGTGTATATGGAGACATGTTAAAACTAAATACGGAATTAAAACCCGAGGAGCGACAGATTTGTTAGACCGACAATCAATAGAAGAATGGTGGCGGTCCGTTAATACCCAACACGATTTATTAGAAGTTTTCTGGAATGATATAAAAATAGTATATGATGTATAATAATGTATAATGACGAATTGAAATATTATAAAAAAATAGTATATAATGTATAATAATATATAATGACGTATTGAAATATTATGAAGTACTTGACAACGGTAAATTAATAAATTATTTAGTAATAAATTGTTGTTAATTTGTTATTATTTTATGGTAGGTAGCTTATTTTACGGTAGGTAGCATATTACACCAACGAAGTAGCGGTAGGTAGCATATTAGACGAGTACCAAAAATTTTTCATAGAAAAGATTATGTTCTTTAAAATTGAGGGGAAATATAACATAATTTTGAGTTTCAAGATGTTGATTTTGTTTGTAAAATATGGATGATAAGAATACTCTGTTTCTCTTAATTATTATTTCACATTCTAATTTATCTATAATACTACCAATACATAACTTACATTCTCTTTCAACCTCAGTAATACTTTCTGATTTTATCATTCTGCTAAGACTACAGGGAATATTCAAATTATTATAATTATCAATTAACATTTGATGTTCAATTGGGACTTCATCATTAATCAATAAACATTTATGTTTGTTTGGAAAAAGCTGATTAAGTCGTTTGCCTTTTTTATATTTTTCTTCTCCATTTTTGGATGGTCTGCCCTATTGTTGTAGTAAGTCAGTCTTTGATGAAATTTCTTCATTATTAATATAATGGTATACAGCACATATATGTTTACATATACCTCCTGCTCCTGCAGGGCATCCACAATCTGTGTGGTTAACTTTTCTTAAATTATCAATTTAAAATTGTACAGAATATGAAATCGTTAGTAGACATTCATTAACCATTCTAAAAATAGCTACTGTTCTATCTATTTTACTTTGTATTTACTTCAAGGGTCACTTTCCAGGGGGTTAATGTTACTGAAGTCTGCCTTATAACATGTCCACTGATAATTGAAAAAACATTTGCTAATTTTAATTCTTGAAAATTTTTTACGTGTCCACTTTCAAATAAATGCTGTCCCTTATTATTTGGTAAATCAAATTATAGATAAATGGTTTGAAATCCATATGTAATTAAAATGTCGCCCATCTTAACACACACTACACACAATTAATATTAGACTAGAGTAATTTTTGTTTTGTTTAATATTGATTAGATGGTGGTCAATAAATTAATGCCAACTAACAATAATAGAGAAAATTAGAATCATGGACATAATATTCATGATTTAAGATATTTTGTAGAGAAATTACACTCCATGTCTTCATCGGCTGATCATATACTGGTTCGCCAATGTTGAAGTATTGATTATAATAATATAAATAATTAATTTCAAAGATGTTAAATATTAGTTTAATATTATAATATACTATTATTATAGTTTAATAAATGTATAGTTTAGCTTCATTTACCGCGCGTAAAATAATATCATAACATTAATGTGTACAATGACTACTTGTAGTGCTAGTAGTACGGCTGTACAAAGTTTATAGTAATTATACATAAAATCTATAAATAGTTCGGGCGCGGAACGCCGATAATGGATTGGTTTTGATTATAATACTCGTATACAAAATGTAATATATCAATGGCATTTTGTTAAAAGGTCGTATATCACAAAAAATCGAAAAATGAGTTTTTGGTATCAAAATTTTCAGAAAAAATAGGCGCATAATTTGTAATATTGAGGCGGTTAAAAATATTAAGAATTATTCTCTATATAGCGGATATAAGTTATCCAAACGCCCTAAAGAATATATATATATATATATTTTAACGGAGAATTTTAAAAGGGCGTATACTACAGGAATTGCTAGTGGTTTTATCGAATAAACTAAGCATTTGAATGATAATTGTTATCAAATTATCAACATGCCTATTATATAAAGGTATATCCAAGATCAACCGACCTTAGCGGTATCATTTTTAAAAACACTATTTTGTTCCTTCTGAACAATTTCAATTATGTGGTATACGCCCTTTCAACAAAGCACCATCGATATATTTTCTGTTTTTACTTGTTAATTTGTGTTAAACATTGTACATTGATGAATTAAGTAATAATAACTAAAAATATTTATTAGTTGAAATGCGATAATAATAGGTTCAGTTAATTAACACCCTGGGTCCCTTGGTACCCAGTCCACTCCTGCTTAATTATTCTTGTGGTGCATCATATAGTAGTAACTCTGAAAGACAACTTATCTTACATGCATGCATATAGGTGATAGGTCATTAATATAATAAAATTTGACTAAACCCTATTTTTAGCGAACTCCGATACAAAACGTGTGTAGGCTGAAAGTGGAAGTGTGTAACTACTAAATACTAATCAATGAGACTATTATGAAGGTATTTTTTAAGAAAGACATCTGAAGAGGATTTAAATATATCTTTTAAATTATATATCCCACATTAAACTAAATAATTTGTTAAGAGTTTTCAGATTTATACCAGACATAAGTAATTTTTCAGTTAAAAAAATAATAAAAGATTGGTAGTTACCTAATTATTTTCAATATGTGCAATTTGATAAACAAAAAAAAAAACTATTACTAAAAATTATATTTATATGGAAGTGGGATATAGGGAGCTTTGTATTATATGATTGTACAATCATAAAATTTATACAAATGTGCAAAACAAATTTTAATGAAAAATAGGGGCTGCATTTGACTTTTGAGTACCTATACATTTTCTATTTTTTGTTCATAATATATTGTACAATTTTATAATTAGCTAGAATTACAACGTAATAGTTACACAGGTTTTGTTAAAATATTATTTATGTTTTAGCTTAATTTTTAATGTTATTTATTATAGAAAATGTAAAATATAATAGATTACCGAATAATTTTTCCTGACCAGTGTTATAATTTTGATTAATATGCGGTATTTAGATAATTTATTTTATTTCGACCATGGACGGATCCTCTGAGGGCAAGTGCCACCCACGTTGGAAAAAAATAGTATTAAACATAAAGTATATCTAGATGCATTAAATAATATTTAATAAAAATAAATTTGGATAGTTTAAGAACAATATTTTCATATTATTTTGGGGAGCTTAGACCCTCAAGACGCCCCTACATACGCCGATGATTAACTACAGTATATAGGTTAGTTACTCCTCTAAAGTGCCCTGACCATAAATAAATGCTGGATCCGTTCTTGATTTCGGTATGGCACAAACGACAAAAATAAATACATGGCACATGATTACTACATTTGTAGATAAGTATATGAGGTAGGCAATTACTATTAACACAGAATATTATTAAGTACAGCGACGGATCCAGGATTTTATTTGGGGGGGGGGGAGTTTTAAAAAATATTTTCCCTTGAATTTTAAAGAAAATTATTGATTTTTAATACATATTTTTCCTGATTTGGTGGCGGGTTAACCTCCTAATCCCCTTAATCCGCCACTGATTAAATATATTTTGTGCTATTGGTACTACACAGTGGCGAACGCAGGAAAAACATTTCATGAGGGGTTTTGAAAAAAATGTTAAATCTAGGTATGCTTACTTACACATATAATAAAAATATATATGTATTTTATTTGCAAGTCCCATGGGAAACATTAAAATAACTATTACATTTGTAAGTCAGGTCATTTTTTTCTGATTTTCGGGTAGAGGTTGAACTCCTTCAATGCAATTATTAAATTGGTACCTACTGACACGAATTTTGCGTATTTAATCGATTAAATTTTTAATATACATTATTTAAAAGAAGAATATAAGCTTAATTTAATTACTTTATTGAAAACTAAAATGTGACCAAAAATTTAACATAAGTACCTACTGTTGTACACAAGGGGGATTAGGGGTTCATATAATTAATAATTAGGGCAGTTATTGATGAAGACTAATAAAATATTATAATAATCAATGAAGTTTCACCCTTTTTTTTCACAACAATATCAAATAAAAATAATTTTTTTAATTATATTCATTTATTAATTTTATTTTATTTAGAATGATTTTATACGTCTATGATTAATATACTATAATATATTAGTTCAAGAACAAGTCTATAAGACCGTAATGGATATTGTAGTATAGATATCAGCTGTGATCACCATCGACCAAACGGTTGATAACACTTGTGGTTTGATAATTATCACAAAAGCGCACGGGACGTTATTATTGTAACGTAATAATAAATATAATTGTCGTCACCGTCGCGATATATCCGTGTAATAATAATATTTTTACGTAACAAATAAAACGCGATCAAACGTCAGTGGCCGATTAAACGGTATTATTGTAATAGTTACGAGTCGTGCGTGCACCGCCGATTCTTTCGTCCGACGGGTGTAATAAAACCGTTGTTTGTTAAATGTTATTTGATGGACGACCGTGTTTGTGTGAAAATTTACCTGCACAGTTATTAGGTAATTTTTAAACGTTCAGCAGTGCAAATCCGTCTAGTGTTTGGGTCGCTCTAAGACGTAAGTAATCCACATGTTATCTCGTTTTCTGTACCAGACGGTCGGTTGTTATTATGTGTTCATGTGCAATACATATTCCCGCCTCTAAATGAAACAATAATAAGAGCATATGGAGTTTTCTCGAGATGTAATTTTTTCCATTAAAGTTTTGTCGTTATCTCCTATTTATTTACACCTAGTTTATCAATTGTACTCATGTTGTGTTCTGTAGCCCTTGGGGTTGCTGATAGTGCAATTGTGGTTTTTTTTAAATCTACCATGATTATGTAATGATATTATAAACTTAATTTTCAGTTGCTTCCACACACGGTTATCCTTTATAATGTTTAAGTTTAATAGTTCTAATAAACATACTATACACAACCAAACCGACAAAGACCTTAAGGAAGAAGGTAATCGCCTATTCAGCTATAAACAGTACGAAAAGGCCATTGAATGTTATAATAAAGCAATTGTGAGTAAGCAAGTTTTCACTTAAGGTCAGTTAGTAATATCTAACACAAATATTTGTTATGTGCAGATCAAAAATCCAGTTGTCCCTATATATTTTACCAATCGAGCTTTATGTTTCTTGAAATTGAAACAATGGGATAAGGCATGTACAGATTGTCGACGTGCTTTGGAAATGGACTTTAATTTCATAAAAGGTTGTTTTTTTCTGGGTATTGCACTTATTGAGTTAGGAAATTATGATGAAGCTATAAAACAGTTGCAAAGAGGTGAGGAATTCCATTTAAATATTAATATATTTAAATATTTTGTTAGTTAATTACATTTTGATAATTTTTATTTTAAGCTCATAACTTGACAAAAGAAAAAAAAGTCAACTATGGGGATGACATAACAAGCCAACTTAGAAGAGCTCGTAGGTTAAAATGGGAAAAACAGGAAGAAGTCAGACAGAATCAAGAAATAGAACTTTTGGTAATTGATATATTTTGGAAATATATCATAATATATCCTATATCATAATTTGTTATATTTGCATATTATCCTTAATATACTTAATAATATTGTTGTTTAAAAATTATATTTTATTTATTAAGTCATATCTGACAAAACTAATGGATGATGATATTGCTCGTAAGATTAGTAGCATTGAAAAACCATCAGACAATGAAGCTGAAAGTGAAAAGTACGAGAATGATGTTATGAAGATTAAAAGTCAAGGCGTAAGCAGGCTTATTTAATTATTAACAGTTAATTGTTATTTTATGATTCTTTTTATGCTTGAATTTTAGGAAAAATATGCTGCTGAACTTCATACCATATTTGCAAAGAATGATGATAGGCGAAAAGTAATAAAAACATTATATGAATAAAATATAGATATATATATTATATTTTATTTTATTTTATTACTTTTTTTTATTTTTTCATTAGAAACGAGAAGTACCTGACTATTTGTGTGGTAACATAAGCTATGATATTTTGCGGGATCCAGTTATTACTCCAAGTGGTATAACTTATGATCGGAAAGATTTAGAAGAACATTTAATGGTAAATACAAGTACTTAATATTTTACAAATCTTGTGTATTATAGTGATTAATGAAAAATTCAAAAACTTTATTATAGGTTTGTAATAGGTTACTAAGTACGAAAAAAAAAAAATTTGTGACATTAAATTTTTTAGTGTAAAAATACAAATTAAGTGTTTATATATATATGTATAAAAGGTGCTCATAGAAATATTAACCGGGGAGCTAAAGTCAAAAGTATTAAATCACCATTAAAAAATGTAATACTTAAAATTTATTGTTGTAAAAATAATAGTAGAATTTCTTCTAAATTACCCATACTTTCATTAAACGTTTAATACAAACTGAAATAAAATAAATGGTGTTTAACAAATATATGTTTATTTATACATGCAATTTAAGTTGTATTCATTTTAAATAATCATAAATAAAGATTTTAGTTAAATTAATATTTTATATAGTATAAAATATAAAAATTAGCAAATTAAGCATTACAGAATATAACCGTCAATTAATAGTTATTAAATAAGAACTGAACCCTTCTAGGTTCTACACAAAATGATTTTATTGTTTCCTCTATAAAAGTTTTTTGGCTTTTAAGTATATCATTATGAATATTGTTTATGATGGTTAGTTGGGTAATAGTATTGCGAAGCCATGTTTTTAGTTTTTTTTTTTTTAGTAAGCTAATAAAAAGGAAAAATAAAATGATTTATGTGATGATAAAAAAATTAAAATATGAGGTTGAAACCTGAATGATCTTACAACACTACACATATTAGATGGAAAGTTTGATTGCTATTAAAATACTATTTTTTATTGAAGGTATGAATGTAATGTTTATTTACTTTAAAAATTGTTTTAAATTTATTTATTTTTTCTAAATATCATACCTCAAAAGACCTACAAGATCTGCATTGTTAACTAATTCTTTATAAAATTATTTTATTTTATTTAGTTTAATTATAAAATATTATTTTATTAAATTGTTTTAAAAGTTTTAGATGAATAGAATACATTTCAAATTTTTCTTTATCCTCTGTAAATCAGTCATTTAAGGATAAAATTAATGAATCTAAATTTATATATATATATATATAGGTTTTCTATAGCAATCTGTAGGATTTGATGATAAACCTATAATTAGTTTTTTAAATTTTAAATATTTACACATTATATCTATAATATAATACACGAATGTATGAACTTTTAATACATGTGTACACGAACTTTAAAAATATGTGTAATTAAATACATGGGTAACGCTACATATTATTATTTAATGTTTACACTACGTGTATATCAATACACGTACCAAACCGAGAGCCTTAGATCCTTTTTATTTTCTTAAATCAGCTATAGATTTGTGACTTGGAAACACCATGAGATAATACTTCAATTGGCAGGTTATACCATATTTTATTAATTATATTGCAGTTAATGATCCCTCTCGTTTGAGATGTAAGAAGAGAAATTCCTTTCTCATGACCCCTTACAATGATGTATTTACACCTTTTATACATACATTTTTACAAAAAAAAAAAAAAATTGTAGAAAATCTTTCAGGCGATTAAAGGAGTAGGGAATCAGAAAATCTGTACAGTATATATTTTGTTAAGTCACTTAGTCTATAGCTTTACACTAAATGTTAATTAATATCAACAATAAATTAATATCTGCAATATTGAAGAATGATTTTTTTTTTTGCAAAAAAAAAAAAGTATAGTGATTTGCATTTTAAAAATATTTTTACATTTTTATATTTTTAAATTATTACTTCATTATAGTTCATGATTTTTTTTTTTAGATTTGTAGATTGTAATATAAGTTTTATACATGGTAAATAAAATAATTTCAAATAAATTATTCATCACTAAACATTTAAAATAATAATAATATATATCAATTATTTCAGTTAGATCTAAATCTTTTCACTTTAAAATGTTTAAAATCAAAAATCATTCTTTATGTTTTTACTAATATAAAATCTGTTTCTTAATGATCACATTTTTTTTTTTTATGATAGACTATTTAAATTAATATTATATTAATAGCCTTACTATGGAAGAAATAAAATGATTATTTTTATTCAAACAAGGAGTTTTTTTCCTTTGTTTATACAAATAATTTAATTTATATTTTCTTAGTATTTTTAACTTTTAAAATCTAATTCACTACTGGTGTTTAATTTTTTTTCTTATAGAAAGTTGGACATTTTGATCCTGTGTCACGTCATCATTTGACCGTTGATCAGCTTATTCCAAATTTGGCCTTAAAAGAAGCTGTTGAATCATTTGTTTTGGAAAATGAATGGGTAAACTACTATTGCACTTTATAATTTCATAGTTAATAAAATTGTAAACTCTTTTCACTTTAGTTCTCATCGTAATTTCAACTAGAGTAACAACATTAAAATGTACCATTTGTGACAATTTTTAATCTTATTGAATTTTTAATTTAAAAAAATATTGGTATTAATTAAGATAAACATATGCATTATATTTTATAAATATTTAAAAAATTGCTCTTGTTCATACTATTTTTGTGTATATTTTATTAACTTTCATTTATTTTAATGGGTTTTCCTCTAATTATTTGATTAGTATAGACATATGTATTAACTTAAGTAAAATAAATTGGAAAAGTATTTTGTAGATTTGGTCAAACCTGAAGTATCAAGTAAAGTATTATATACTTATATCTTTTTTATTTTTTTTTACATTATAGTTGGATCTGTACATTTAATATAAATTATCTTTGTCTTTAGGTGTATCTGAATATTACTAAATTATTAAGGTGTATAATTTAATTTGATCAACAATTTATTAATTATCCGTGTATTATGAAATCATATATTTTTTCTCAATGAAATTCCGTTACCTATGAAAAATTAACATAAAATTACTATTCACAAATGGTACTATTTTGATTTGTTTTTAAAAAAGATAATCTTCATAAGAATTAAATAAAATATTAAATGTTTAATGAATATATGCTTGATTTAAAATAAATAAATCATCAGTAAAATGTTGCTCATAGTTATTGTATCATGTTTCAAAGATCTTATGATAAAATTAATTTTTACTTATATCCAATATAACACTTCTAATTACATTGTTTCATATTTTTCATATTTGTTAAATGTATAATATTTTTACTCTTTATTTTTTAATTCAGTATTTTTGAGTATTTTAAAATATATTTTATTTTCTGTTATATTGTATAATAATCAACTTATCTATACTATTATTATTTTATTTTGTAATATATACATGTTGTGTGTTAATTTGTAATTATCTAAAATTAAGTAAATTGTTAAGTTTATTAAGTATATTAGACATGAAGTACCTATTTATTCCTGTATTAAGAGCTTTGATCAAGAAATATTTGACATATATGCGTTTATTTTCCTAAAAGCCTTTACTACTTATTCTATCTTGTATTTTTTAGTAAAAATGTGATTATTATATTATTATATAAGCCTTTATGAGTACAATGTGAACATCTGTTTGGTGCATTTTGTTTATAAATTTGTTACAGAGCATCTATTGAAAAACTTGTGATATTGTAGAAAGTGTTATATTGTGTTTTAACTTAACCTAATTGACTATGATTTATACGTATATGTAGTTGCATATTATATAAAGTGACATGTATCAATATATATATATATATATACAATTTTAAATTAATATTAACAAAAATATGTTCTTTATAATTATGATCTTATCCTATTATTTAATATTTTCCTTCTAAACCTTAGTGTGTTATAACCTGATGGAAATATTTGGTAAGTTTTAATCATATTATACTTACTTTTTTTTTAACCTATATTATATTTATCTGGGCGATTTATTTTTATTTTTTACTTTTTAAGTGTATTCAGCATTTTTTGCATAACTATTTTGAGACTAATGTCTATAAGATATAATAATAAATAAATTAATAACTTGGTTAGTTTATACTAATGTCTCATCAACAATCCGGCTTATTCTTGAACTTACCTGTATGGTTGCTTTATTGTAAATTTGCTTTTTGACTGTTCACTTGGACAGCGGAATAACAATATTACATAACAAACAAAACATAATACGTTTACGATCGAATTGGGTTTCAAATTATTTATGATTTTTTATAAACATGGCTCCTAAGTTCATGCATTTGCATATCAATCTTGCAAAGTTGTATTTATGTTAGATAACATAGAAATCTATTTCAAGGTACCACGGTTAAATATATGATATCTTATTTTGCATATTTGGCATGTTTTTGTATATTTATGCATATTTCTATTTTATCGGGCATATTATGCAGCACTCTATTAGAAGCTATCAAAAATTAAAATAGAAAATATACCTAAATAAAATTAAAAATAGAAATTGTAATATCCTTTAATTTCTTATCTTTTTGGTACTCGTACATTTAAGGGGGTTGGGAATGGACCTTTTTTAAGGGGTTGAATATAGACAATACCTTATACGCGTGATATTATGCCTTGTGAGTGTGTGCGTTAGTAAACGGTTATTAGTGTGTGTGTGTGTGACATCCCCAAAATAATACGCTCCGACCTTATCAGCAAATGAACTGTCATTACCGTCGTTGTTTGTACGCCCCAAGGCATGTAAATTATTCATTATTATTATTTTTATTATTATTATTATTATTTATCAATTCATAATAATTAATAAGTATAATGCATTTGCAATTCGAGTGCGAGAATCATCGGTTGCCAAATTTTATAAAAAAAATTAGTTTCAAAAGTTTCAGATATAAAATGAATTACTGACAAAGATGTACATTATACGCAGTTCATAAAGGTTCAAGAATAGTATTAAATAGTATTTAAAATCTATTTTTTTTAATTGTGACATAAAAAAATAAAATATAGCTATAAAAAAAAAAATAAATGGATAATTCATGTTACTTCAAAAATGATTTATGATTTTTTTAAGTAAGCATTTTTAAGTGCATAATTTTAGATATTTAATGCATATTTTACCAATTTTAAGTGCATAAATACATGCTTATTTAGACATTTTGTAGGGCATGAACTTGCGAACCCTGGTTATAAGCCTATTAAATTTGTATAGTGCTGATAGAAGATTCTGGTATTTATTATTACCTACAATACATATTTATACACAGGTATGTATTATAAAAATTTTAAGTGGTTAATTCCTTAGGAGCAAACTTTATCCAATGAATCCCTTAAATGACTTAAACATATAAAACTTTCCATAATTTAAATGTTATTATAAAACAATATGATTTGTCTGGCATTTAAATTTGTAAAATATTTACAAAATCGTAAATTACAATCGCCAAGATATTATTTTTGATTGATGGAACGTTTCGTTACGCATCGTTTACCATAATTATATACTAGCGAGCAGAGTGTCTATTTTATTAAAATCATCACTTTATTCCGAAGATAATATAATATTGATTCCAATTATGGTGCTCTAATACTATTTTGTGAAAGATATACATGTAATAAAAACTTTAAAAGTATAATAATATTAAATAAGTAGGTATCTAACTAAAATGCGAATTTTGCATAGTTCTAGACATAAATACTATGAAAATGGATCCCCGATTATTTTTAAACAAAATAGTAATAACTTTTAAGTTTGTTAAGTAAAACCATTTTATTTTTGGAACCTTAAAGAATCTTTATAATTTATAAAGTTCGATTAGGTTCCTGTACTTAATATATCTATATAAATGTTTCGATTCCTACTATTTAAAAGGTTTCTTTTCGGTGCGGTACATGTCCCTGGTCTTGATGATTCGTAGTACCACTCTTTATCCAGACTCAGGAGCGTACCCAGGAATTTTTTATGGGGGGGGGGTCCAAAATTTTTATTTTATCCGTTCTCTAATTATAATTATAGTTTAACTCAATACCAAACAATTACTGTTAAAATACTATAATATAATTTATACATTATAGATAAATAATCTTTAAACTTTGTGTATTGAAGATAATAGGAAATTTATATTCACTATATACTATTTACTATTAAACCATCGAGTATGTTAGAAATTTCAATGGGAAGGGTCCGGACTCGACTCCCCCCCCGTTGGGTACGCCCTTTTCCAGACTAGATAGTAGGTATACAGGTTACTCGTACCACTTACTATCAAACGCATAGGTACTTTGTCTAACAATTATGCAATTTGAAATTAATCACACTCCTCTAAGGGATACATTATTTACGCAAAATTATTTATTTATTTTTTCTTAACAATGTTTGTTGTATAATTTGTATAATATATGTATAGGTATTTAAATATTTTTATTAGTATTAAGAATATCTCCATCTGGATCAATGGAAATAGATAATTGCTTTAAACGAACAATATAATTGAATATAATATATAAGGTATTTCCCATATTGTACACGACGTGACGTACAGTATAAACATTTATATATATATATATATATATATATATATAATATAGTATAATATTAAACTTAATAATTATGATACGATTTATTATAGTGAAACATACATATATTTATGCGGTTACAGAATAATAATATACACGTTATTATACACAATAATATATTATAACACACGATTTGACAGTTTTTTTTTTTACTGAGATGAATAATGCAATATTCTATTTGAATTATATACTTTAAGATATAAAGCTTCACAGAAATACTGCCTACTTACCTACATGTTCACTCACAGGCGTAACTATAGCTGGTCTTTGTGTTATAGTTATGATGATCGATAATCGGGATGATTTAACACTCCATCGTTTTAAAAATCCCTTTTTACGTAATTTTAGCGTACATTTTATTGTGCTTATGTATTTATTATACGGATAGGATGTTAGAAAACATCTAATCATTAAAATAATATACTATTTCTGTTACAATATGTCATTTATAATAGCTAGCAACAAATGTAAATTTTAAAAAAAAAAACCTTGTTTCTGGAAATCATTTTTTTTCTTTGTATAGCGAAAGAAAAAGTTGTGGCAAACACATGGATATGGGTAGTTTTCTAATGAGCTCTATATTGACGCTTATGGTTGCTTTAATAGATTATTAATTTGTGTCAAAGGTACTTTAACAAAGGTAAATTACTTGTATATACATATTAAAACGGAGTCGCATAAAAAGATCAAACACTTCACGTGTAGGTAAAATTTGTATTAAGTGTTTATATAATTAACTGTTGTATAAACGTATACATCAGAGCTTGCGCTAAGGAAATATTAGAGTTGCACATCCTGTTTGTTTTACAGAAGTGAAAAAAATTTGACGCTCGCTCATGTATATAAAAACTATTTATATTATTGTTTCATGACGCGCGCGCGCACGCGTATATGTGTATGTATGCGTGTGCACGCGAATTTATTTGGTCAGGTTCACTGCGCTCAGCACAAGCTCCGGTTGCTGCTGTTGGTCGGGGTCACCGCCAGCTGGCGTGGAAGACGTGTTGTTCAGCTCTTCGAACGATTTGACCATCATTTTGGTGGCAACGTTCAACGAGTCCTCGAATGTCAGTGTTGACTTGAGGTTGAAAAGGTTCCTATTCGAGCTCACCTCGTCCTTCGTGTACAGATGGTCGTCCTGTTCGATCAGGTGCTCCATGCTACTGTCGAGGCTAGCTTCCGGTGTGGCTTTCGGCATCCTTTTCACCTGCGCGACATACAGTACAGTTAATAACATATTCATCGTACATTTTTGTATCGCAGCGCGCCCGGAGACTCGAACGGAACATTCAGAGTGATCCACGAGCAGTGCCCAGTTATATATATACAGGCGTAGTCAATTAACACGACTGTTCGTGGTTGCAGTTTCAGTTGCAGTTGATTGTGGATCGCACGAAAACACGCAAAGAACGTATGTTCGGTACCCACGATTCGCTAGGTTCTCAAACCGTGTTTGATAAGGATATATCAAATGATATGGTCTCACCGGGCTAGTTTTAAACAATGTTTTCTCTAATGTTAATCGAACGGGTGATTTGTACTAGTCGTGTAGTCCATCGATTTTTTACAATAAATTTTTTCAATTAGTTTTTGATATTTTTAAAATAATACTTATATACTTATATACTTATGGGAAAAATAAAAAAAAAAAATAAAAATCTTTGAAAAGCTAAAAACCACGTTGACGTTAAGTATAGATTCAAGCATGTTGTGTGCGGTGTGTACGGATTGCGTCCCGCATAAAAAGGTATAAAAAGGTATAATAGTAATTGCGTCCCTGGTTTTTCTCGAGCACGGCTGAATTGCGTCCCCGGTACCTGTGATATCTAAAATGTATAAAGGCGAAATTATTGATTATTATAAATTATTTTGGTATTCCCGATTTAATAAAAAACGATTACGTTAAAGCTTTGATAAGTTTCTTGTGAGTTACGTTTTGTAAATGACCAACACAATTATTGTCGCAGTACAGCGTTAACAGTCCATTACCCTACACGTGTTACATTACCCGATTATGGTGAGTGAAATGAATAGTATGTATAGCGAAAAACAACGTGATTTATTTTGTTATTGACCAGTATAAATTTCGATTCCATAGGTACTTAAAAAACAATAATTGTAATACTTTATAGCAAAATTATTTCGAACGGTGAAGTTATTGTAAAAAAAAAAAACGCGTAGGTCGTAACGTAGTAGTAATTATGTAATTATTATTATAGACAGTCGTAAGCCTGTATAAAAATGGGGAGGAAAATATTGCTTAATTTTTAAAATATTTTAAAATATACGAGACGCATTTGGTATGTATAAAAAAAAAAAAAAATCGGGACGCAATTAGTATGATTCCAAAAAAACTTGAGACGCAATTCGGAAGAAATTGTTGCCGCGGGACGCAATTCGTATGCAGCCGTTGTGTGATTATAACATTTAGAAATCGTAGCATAGTTGCGCATGAAAAGTTCAAGGTTTCTATTAGAATTTTGTTGGTGAGCGATGACGCGTCCGTTCAAACGTGTCGTTATACATACATCGTAGTATACCTGTATTAAGTATACAATACACAAGTCCATAATTTTTGTCCGGGGAATTAGCATTTTGGCTTTGTTTAGAAATCCCCACTGCCTCAAGGGCGTATTTGAGGGGGCGAAGGGAACATTCGCCACCCCCATAGCTCGTATTTTTTTTTTTGAATATAATACATTGATTTATTTAAAAAATGTAATGTATAAATAATTAAGAACATAAATTACTACTCTATCACTATAATATGATAATAAATTCAATAATATGTCAATTTGATCACGGGTATCAATTTTTGTTTATCTTCTTATATCATAACATTTTTGGTAGTGGAACGAATTGTGGTATTATCTTCCACGGATATTGCTACGGTTATAGACATTTATAACCATAACCGAAGTATTTATCACATAATATACAGTAATTTAAAGTAACACCTTTTTTTACCACATATTTACTAGTTGGTCATTTTTTGGTGCATTTATGCATATTGTTTATTTTTGTATTTATTAGAGCTATGTAAGTCCTTAATAATTTTACTTGTCTATTTTTTTTTTACAATATAATATCTGGTACTTTTTGTTGTGCATAGGTATTTAGTCATTTTTTTTGTGTACAGATGCATGCATATTTGTGTATTTTATAGAAATAGAAGCCCCTAAGCCAAAGAATTATCATAATAACTGAGAATATTTTTTCCATATTCTTTAACTTGGTCGAAAATATATTTTTGTAGATTGAAAATATGATTAAGATCAAGAATAAGCCAGCATAGACTAACAGGTTTAGCTTTGCTCCATGTGCATAAAGATATTATTGTATCCATTGATGAAATAATCAACAAGTTTGTCATAATAAAAAAAAAGAAATTTGGAATTTTTTATTTGGCTACTTACTAATCTTATGTTTTCTACTTAGATATTTGTTAAATTAAGTTACCTATCTTAATTTTTTTTAAAGGTTTTAAAAAAATAATTAATAGGTAGGTACAATTACTATTATGATTATTTTTTGTTTTTTTTTATACAGGATTGAGACTGAAGGTATAATTTTAATATAGGAACTATTTGTGTTGTTATTATTAATACTTATTTTATATGCAGTAAGTTTTAAATATATTTATTATATAAATATTTAATTGAATTTGATACTTGTATTTTTATTTATTCACTTGAATGAGCAACAGGAACATGAGCTGTAGGTAATGAACTGTAAATTATTTTTAAGTTTACATAGAAGAAAAATTAGCCCCCCCCCAAATAGCCTCAACACAAATACGCCCTTGTGCTGCCTCCAACACTTATATAATATAATTAGTACTTATATATACGTACGATATTATATTGTATAAACAATTTTAGCTTGTCTTATATTTGGCGATGATATTAAAGAATTGAAATGACACCTTTTGTATTTTATATAATAGATACTTTATAGTGCATAACACGCAGGCGCGTATACAAGAGAGAGTTTTAGGGGATTCAATCTCTCCTTCCGAAATTCAGAAAAATTTTCAAATAAATTTTTATAAAGTAAGTGGTTAATATATTATATAATTATAAAAATATACAACCTAAAACCACTCCTTAAAATATTTTTTTTGTGTATGTTAATTGTATCTGGTTACATATGTTACGAAAAACGTCATCCTGAATAAAGAACATTATATACATCGTGTACACAGGTGCGACAGAAAGTTTTGTAGAGGGTAAGGGCTGCTCGACTGAATCACTTTAGTTTTCGATTAGTCATTCCTTAAATCAGCAGAAATGGCGGTGGCAAAGTAATTTTTTATGAGCTTCTAAAACAGTACAGATCAGGCGTGTAGTCAACTAGACGAGACTCAAATAAAAAACGCGCACGATATGATGAAAAAATTGTTGAAATAAAAAAAAATACATAGTTTTTGTGCATAAATTGCGTGTAGGTATACAGTATTGACTTTAGATAACGTATAAATAATTTTTTCGGAAACCAAATGAATGAAGACATTGATCCGAAAAACGACTGTCAATGATTTTATAACGATAACTTATGTGTTATAATTTGTTTAAATATCCTACTGTGTTACATTGAACCATAATTATTATTATTATTTAAAATGTATAAGGTTTTAATTAAAATTTCAAATATATACTCGTAATTTGCATAACTCGAAAATAAATGCACGAAATTAATCAAAATACAGACCTACATTTTATTTACAAGCGCTTTAATTAGTATAAAATAAGATGTGAATGATGCGATACATTTTATTCGATATAAATAATTGCTTACTAACATGCAGCTCGAAATATGGTTGAAGGGTTATAAATCTTAAAAAGTAAAATTCATCTTATAATTATATCATTCATTATATAATATGAAAATGTTAATTGTTATCGAAACTTTAAAGTTGGCACAATGCTTTACCTACATTTAATTACTATATATGATACATTTTATTTATTTTATCTATTTTAAAAATATTTTTATTGGGTCTAAGAATGAATAGTAAAAAAGTGTACATTATAGAATACATGTTTTGACGAATAAACTGTTAAAACAACGGCAATTGATCATTTGGCGATGGAATGCTTATTAAACGATACACTATGATGTATTTTAATGCAAATGTTTTGCATTGGCACCGCAAGTCTTCCTTTTCTCTAAAAGTGCCTTTGTGGACAGTATAAAGGATACTGTCGGGCTGTCGGCCTGGGTAAGTAGAGATCTTGATTACTGCATCAGAATGGTGACTGCTGTATACTTAGGTAATATTACAAAAAATATTATAGTAAGTATACAATAATGTGAACAATTGTATATTCAGGAAACATGATCACGTGTATAGTACATAATACATTTTATATTTACAAATTTTTCGTTAACTAATTAACGGCGTGACAGACAGAAAGCTAATAGCATTTGTTAGTAAATAATTTTTTTCAATTTACTAAAGAAATTAATAAAATGTACATAAATACTCTAAGGGTTCGAAATATACATATTATTAAAACATATAAATGTACGTTTACACAAATTATAGAATTTCAATTATTATTTTAGAAGTTATCACTCAGTTGAACATTGATGAAATTCTCCGTAATTATGTGCGTTTATGACGGGGCAGCTCTGACCGATACATAATATGCATTACATATTTTGTCGAATATGTTAATGATGGCAACGCGTTCAATAAAAAATAATTCGACCGTAGTGAAAAGGTATGATTTAAATTAAAACGTAAGTTTCCTAATATTTTATCCGGTACCTGTTGTATCCATATTGTATTATTCACCAGGGTAAACACCAAAAAACAAAACGTAAATCAAGTTTAATTAATCTCGAAGGGTGGAGTGGAGAGGAGGATTCGATAGACACTGAAAATCCGAGAAATCAATACTATTAAAATATTGTAGTGGAAGAGATCCAAAATATTATGCGATTTAACGTTCAAAATAAAAGGAAAAAATACGACTGTATGTACCACATATCACATTTGTTATAAAAACGCGTAAATACTTTATGTCACACCACCGGCATGTTCAAAGCTCATACGATGCAATTGCTGCGGACCTCATGGTTTTTCGTATCGTTTTAAATTCACGACAAAAGAAGAAAAAAAAACCGTCATATAATAACTCGTTTTTATTCATTGTACGGTATAAAATTTGCAAACAACAACCCTCCATTTCCTGTACCATA